TATGAGGGTTGCCAGATTGGATAAAAACATTTTTTGGGGGGGGGGGTTGTCGATGAAGGTATTTGATTGGTAAATGGGGATACAGTTTTATGATGAGAAATTATAATACACACCATAATACACACACACATATACACAAACACTTACACACATATACACACACTCACTTTGTTTGTACTCATGTTATAGCCAACTCTTGACTTTTGTATGAATTATTTTTAATAAATATGTGTATCTAGTTGTCATGTATTCATTATCTTTAACTGGTTAAATGTTTGTAGTTTGCATGTTTCAGTATTGATTAACATGGTTAAATAGTCGTAAATCTCTACTGATTTAGCTTTTGGTATATTTGGCATTTTTATACATATTCTGTATTTCCACTGAAGAAAGCAATAATTAATCAACACACTACTATAAATAAATGGACACTACCTGTTATAAAATGGAAATTGCTCTCCGTATATAAATGGTGAGAAATGCTCAGTCTGAAGCCATTCGGCTATGGGTTTCACAGCCCTATTATAATGATTATATCACCTTAAAAAGGGTTTATTTACAACCTCTGGGGTATAACATGTTGGGCAAAGCGGTATAGGAGAGTCTGACATATAACCCCTAACTTGAGTTCAGTCTTCACCAATGAGAACCAAGAGGGGCCAAGCTTCATCCTTCTTGACAGGGAAAGGCCTCGATTCTAGGCCGTAGAAAATCCTACATCCATCTCATTAGATCAGAACAGGATGGATCAACAGTGATTCATATTACTGGTTTGCATCTTTAAAAAAGGATAGTTGTGTTTTGCTGTATAACACACTTACATATTTATTTTTGTATTTTATTATGGATCCCCATTAGTTGCTGCCAAGGCAGCAGCTACTCTTCCTGGGGTCCAAACACATTAAGACACTTATATTACACATAAAACAAAAGATAAAACAATACTCTGTTCTGGACTTGGGTTTGTGAAGAGACCTCTGGTGGCATGTCATGTGGGGTATGCATGGGGGTCCGAGTAGTTTAAACTGTGTGCTAGTAGTTTAAACAGACAGCTCGGTGCATTCAGCATGTCAACACCTCTTACAAAAACAAGTAGTGATAAAGTCAATCTCTCCTCCACTTTGAGCCATGAGAGATTGACATGCATATCATTAATGTAAACTCACTGTGTACTTTTAAGGGCCAGCCCTGTTCTGAGCCAATTGCAAGTCCCTTTTTGTGGCACCTGACCACACGACTGAACAGTAGTCCAGGTGCGACAAAACTAGGGCCTGTAGGACCTGCCTTGTTGACAGTGTTATCAAGAAGGCAGAGCAGCGCTTTATTATGGACAGACTTGTCCCCATTTTAGCTACTGTTGTGTCAACATATTTTGACCATAACAGTTTACAATCCAGGGTTACTCCAAGCAGTTTAGTCACCTCAACTTGCTCAAGTTCCACATTATTCATTACAATATTTAGTTGAGGTTTAGGGTTTAGTGAAAGATTTGTCCCAAATACAATGCTTTTAGTTTTTTTTCCTTCATATTTAGGACTAACTTATTCCTTGTCACCCATCTTAAACTAACTGCAGCTCTTTGTTAAGTGTTGCAGTCATTTCAGTCCCTGTATTAGCTGACATATATAGTGTTGAGTCATCCGCATACATAGACTCTGCATACTCAAAGCCAGTGGCATGTCATTAGTAAAGATTGAAAAAAGTAAGGGGCCTAAACAGCTACCCTGGGGAATTCCTGATTCTACCTGGATTATGTTGGAGAGGCTTTCATTAAAGAACACCCTCTGTGTTCTGTTAGACAGGTAACTCTTTATCCACAATATAGCAGGGGGTGTAAAGCCAATACACACATTTTTTCATCAGCTAACCATGATCGATAATGTCAAAAGTCGCACTGAAGTCTAGCAAAACAGCTCCCACAATCTTTTTATCATCAATTTCTCTCAGCCAATCATCAGTCATTTGTGTAAGTGCTGTGCTTGTTGAATGTCCTTCCCTATAAGCGTGCTGAAAGTCTGTTGTCAATTTGTCTACAGTAAAATAGCATTGTATCTGGTCAAACACAATTTTTCCCAAAAGTTTACTAAGGGTTGGTAGCAGGCTGATTGGTCGGCTATTTGAGCCAGTAAAGGGGGCTTTACTATTCTTGGGTAGCGGAATTACTTTTGCTTCCCTCCAGCCCTGAGGGGGCACACTTTCTAGTAGGCTTAGATTGAAGATATGGCAAATAGGAGTGGCAATATTGTCCGCTATTATCCTCAGTAATTTTCCATCCAATTTTCCATCCATATGATCAAATCAAATATTATTTGTCACATACACGTGTTTAGCAGATGTTATAGCGGGTGTAGCGAAATGCTTGTGCTTCTAGCTCCGACAGTGCAGTAATATCTAACAAGTAGTATCTAACAATTTCACAACATATACCTAATACACACAAAACTAGTAAGGAATGGGATTTAAGAATATATACATATATGGACAAGCAATGACAGAGCGGCATGGACTAAGATACAGTAGAATATTATAGAATAGAATGCAGTATATACATAATAATAATATGCCATTTAGCAGACGCTTTTATCCAAAGCGACTTACAGTCATGCGTGCATACATTTTTGTGTATGGGTGGTCCCGGGGATCGAACCCACTACCTTGACGTTACAAGCACCGTGCTCTACCAGCTGAGCTACAGAGGACCACATATGAGATGAGTAGTGCAAGATATGTAAACATTATGAAAGTGACTAGTGTTCCATTTCTTAAAGTGGCCAGTGATTTCAATAGGCAGCAGCAGCCTCTAATGTGCTAGTGATGGCTATTTAACAGTCAGATGGCCTTGAGATAGAAGCTGTTTTTCATTCTCTCGGTCCCAGCTTTGATGCACCTGTGCTGACCTCACCTTCTGGATGATAGCAGGGTGAACAGGCAGTGGCTCGGGTGGTTGATGTCCTTGATGATCTTTTTGGCCTTCCTGTGACATCAGGTGCTGTATGTGTCTTGGAGGGCGGGTAGTTGCATTCAGCAGACCGCACCACCCTCTGGAGAGCCCTGCGGTTGTGGGCAGTGCAGTTGCCGTACCAGGCGGGGATACAGACCGACAGGATGCTCTCAATTGTGCATCTGTAAAAGTTTGTGAGGGTTTTAGGTGCTAAGCCGAATTTATTCAGCCTCCTGAGGTTGAAGAGGCTCTGTTGCGCCTTCTTCACCACACTGTCTGCGTGGGTGGACCATTTCAGTTTGTCGGTGATGTGTACGCCAAGGAACTTGAAGCTTTCCACCTTCTCCACTGCGGTCCCGTCGATGAGAATAGGGTCATGGTTGTAATAACACTTTAAACAGGTAGTTTGTAAATGTGTAGAATGTGTTTGTTTTGGGTCCACACTAGTAAATTCACTTATGTAAATTAGACAGTCACAGAGGATTTTCTTCTGAATAATTGGTCAGGGCATAGCACTTTCCATTAAGCTTCAGGCAGCTTTGATGTATGGCTTGATCACACCTGTAATGACTACTTCTATCCGCCACGCCCATTGTTGCTTATCCATTGTTCACTAGATATATCAATGTAATTACACCCAACACAATGTTGAAAAACAGAATGCTTCCCAACACTAGATCACATAACTAGACGTGAGCAGGATGTGGTCCCAATGATGCCACCAATGTAGCGGAAGAAAGTGAAAGCTGCAACAGGGACTCCAACCAGGTCTCATATGTGGCAAAGTCAACTCTAACGTCTGTTGCCATGAAAGCCTAGTAGGCCTCTGGGCAGAGGCAGTAGGATTACAATACTGACATATGCCTTGTTACAATAGCCAAAGTATATAACATGATTGACACAACCGTAATAATCATAATGAAACGGCCTTGGAAGTGTCATATGTGTAAGACAACATAATTCATTATTTTACATTAACCTGTTTAACTGCATTGATGTGGCTTAATTGATCATAGTCCAGGCTTGTTATATATGCAAATACCATGCAGTTGCACCAGGGGAATTTAAACCCCCAATTTATTTTTACTGGTCTTCTGTTTCCCCACATTTATTGATTAATGAATTTCCCATCATGAAAATGTATCCCCATTCCCCAATCAAATACCTTCATCGATATCACACAAAAAACAGACAATACAGCTTTTTTACTCAAATCTGGCAACCCTCATAAAATCCGACATAGCACCAGTATCCCAAAGTATTAAGCGAAAACAACCATAGAAAAAAACATTGGCATTAAAAATAAAATAAAAACATAAGGCTACTATTGTATTATAAACATTTCGGTGACAACCTGGTTGATTAACAATATTGGTGTTTTAACATGTTTGTTTTTTTATAAATAATGTGGGACACAAAAAAAGGCAGTGTAGAACACCATTGCCCAAAATGCATTGCTCCAATAACTTTCAAAAGATTGTTCTGAAGTTTGCCCCCCAAAATGTATTTTCCTACGAATTAAGTCGCACCATTTTTTTTGTATTTTCACATTAATTAAGCCACACAAAAACGCACGAAATCTGCTGAAATACTTGTTGTACATATTTGCACGAATTGAGTGTGAGATTGTGTTGGAAATGTATACACATTGGACATACTGCTATTCGTGTTCTACGAAAAAAAGAATCCACAATAATTAGCATCTATTTGAATGGCTTAAGTTCCATACTTCGACACCTTGCACTTTCCCAAATAAATAAATTGACACGCAAAAAATTGCACCTGCCACACCTGTCCTTGAGTAGCCGACCGTCAATATAAACGCGTCTGTCATATCTTTATCCTGTTATGTTAAACATTCCTATTAACAACAATATTCCAGGAGGCTTTTGGTTTATGATTCCATGCAGCAGATAATGGGGCCTGATATTTTGATACGGGCAGAGTTGGGTTTCCCTCAGCTGCTCTGGGGAGAGAGAGAGAGAGAGAGAGAGAGAGAGAGAGAGAGAGAGAGAGGGAGGATTTTCGCATTCTTATAAAGACCGCTGGATGCGCTTCTAGTGCTCATAGTACACAGACACACAGAGAGGATACACTGGTGGCAGGACTGGACCGGGGACGCAGAATGGCTCAGAACGGAACTACAGAGAACGGGGTGACGGGGGCGAATGGCGAGGGGAGCCCTCCCATGCCTTTTCCTCAGCCGGTCAAAGTGCAGGAGATACGCCACACCAAGGTGAGACGCACGTCTTATTGAAGTAACATAGCAGCAATCACTGAATAGTGAAAATGTAATGTGAAAAAAAGTATTAAGCCGAAACATCTGAAACACCGGTATGCACAACTTTTGAACTATTTTGAATATATATATATATATATATATATATATATATATATATATATATATAGTACTACTGCATTGTTGGGAAAGAGCAATCAAGAAAGGCATTTCACTGTACTAGTTAGTGCAAGTGACAATACAAACTTGAAACTTGAGTGTAAAGTATAAGGTATAATTTAATGTAAAACTACATGTTCAATACATCATAAGCCAAGGCAGGTGATTTTCGTCAAGTTATTCTAACGCATGTTAGGCTGTAGCCTGTGCGTAGGCTAAATGTTGTGGTTTGCCTGTTGGTGTGATATCCATGTCTTCATATTGGAGTTGGATCCAAAAGGTTGCATGAAAACTATATTTGAAAACCAAAAAACACGCATTATTTATGCTCCTGTGTTATATTGCTTCCTGGTAGTAGCCTAATGAACAGGTGCGTTGTAAAACTTTATTTTTATTTTTTTTAAGCGTCTTTCTTTGTGTTCAACAGATTTTTATCAACAATGAGTGGCACACCTCTGTCAAAGGAAAGACGTTTCAGACCTTCAATCCAGCAACAGGTGTCAAAATCTGTGAAGTGGAAGAAGCAGACAAAGTATGTACCTAAAACATAAATTCATGTCCCGATTAATAAATTGACTTGACGAAATAAGGAATGTTTGCGAAATTAAATTAACAGAATTAGTTTACACCTACTGCAGTGACCCTGACTTTTTTCCACCTCTCTTTATCTCTCTCAGTCTGGTTCTGATTATCTAGGCCAGGGGTATTCAACCGGGGGTCCAGGTACTGCAGGGGGTCCGCGAAAATATTTTATTTTATATACATTATTTTTTTCAACGTTTTTATGAATATCGCTAGCAACAACAGAATAAACACATTTTTAATTACATACCTACAGAAAATAGGATCATGTTTTATTTCTAATGATGTGAACTTTATTTCTCAACTCCTAATATTGAGCAAATTACACTCATTGGAGCCAATTAAACTCGCTGGAGTATCTGACATAGGCTTTGAAAAAGCACCCGTCATTAGGCTACCAGTCAATAGGCTACCAGTCAGTATGCTACCAGTCAATAGGCTACCAGTCAGTAGGCTACCAGTCAATAGGCTACCAGTCAGTAGGCTACCAGTCAATAGGCTACCAGTGTGGCAAGTGCCGTTCGCTGCTGGTAAGCTTTTTTGACTTGGACATACATTTTTGCCAACACATGGCTAACCTTTGTTTATTAACCAGCTAAACAGCTGATCTTAGCGAAAATATTTCTGGAGTTACTACCTTTCTAGCTAATAGCCTATGTTAGAGATTATACTTCCTCTTCCAATTATAATGTGGGGAGGTCAAAATAATGAAAAATTATTTACCAAATCTGTTCATTTTAAAATGTTGATTACTTCTCCTTGCCATTATCATTCAGCTGATGATAAGACAAGACATGTGAAATACATGTTTTTGCTAATGTATGATGGCGGTCCCTGGGTTGCCAGTTTGCCTGGGAGGGGGTCCCTGGTCAAGAAAAGATCTAGGCCTATATGTTTCATTTCCTTTTCCATAGCCTAATTGAAAACCAAGAGAGCGACTGTCTATCAACTCAATACCAAAGTATTTTATTAGGCTACAGACAAAAATAAATTTGTGCGAATGAATTAGGCCTATCAATTATCATTAGCCTGCTCATAATTGTAACTTATGCAAAATAACATTACGCATAGAAATGTTATAGGTAGGTTATCAGTTGTCCGTGTGAAAGCTGTTGATGTGTACCTGAAGGCAGATGTGGACAAGGCTGTAAAGGCTGCCAGAGCGGCCAGCCAGAGGGGCTCGCCGTGGCGAAGGATGGATGTGTCAAGCCGGGGGCGACTCCTGCACAAGCTCGCAGACCTGATCGAGAGGGACCAGGCACTGCTAGCGGTAAGTTGTCGATATAACGGTCTATTAACATTATTTGTCTCTAGACTGTAGTAGGCTACAACTAGCAGCCTATTGGTCAACTTTACACCTGACACCTGCGTTGTGAAGGTAGCCTATCATCTATTCTGGGTATCCAGAGATAATTGACAGCAGCAGCGCAGTGCGCAATGCACCAGATGCTGAAAGTGCATGATCTGTGATCGCGACTCGAGTAATATATATTTTTCAGTTCTACACTTGTTGCTATATAATCCCCACACAACCTTGACATTCATTCTAATATTGTTGGTGAGAGCCTGTGAGACTTTAGGCCTGTGTGTGGCACAAGAGAAGCCATAAAAATACATTATAAAGAAGATCAACTTGCATGAAATCTCTCTCTCAATCTCTCTCTCTTTCTCTCCCTCTCTCTTTCTCTCCCTCTTATCTGGTGATTGTGTGTTTTCCTCCTCCTCCTCACTGTAAAAAATGCAACTTAGAAAAAGTACTTGTAGGTTAAATATAAAAATTGGGGAAAAGTTTAACTGACATGGAATTGTATTAACAGGGGACTAATGGACTAAATACCAAAATATAGTTTTTGAGTGTAGTATTCCTTTAACATAAAAAATATAACAGTCTTTTGTCAATAATAAAATAATTTCCATGCAAAACATCTATCAAAAACATATTTTTAAGTTGATTGACATAGACTGACCAGGTGAATTCAGGTGAAAGCTATTATCCCTTGTTGAAGTCACTTGTTAAATCCACTTCAATCAGTGTAGATGAAGGGGAGGAGACAGGTTAAAGAAGGATTTTTCAGCCTTGAGACAATTGAGACATGGGTTGTGATTGTGTGCCATTCAGAGGGTGAATGGGCAAGACACAAGATTTAAGTGCCTTTGAACGGGGTATGGTAGTAGGTGCCAGGTGGGTGCAACTCAATATTAGGAAGGTGTTCCTAATGTTTGGTATACTCAGTGTATAGTTGAGTTAGAACAATGTTTTGGCCAACTTAAAATATGAGGCTTATGCAACACATGTACAAGCGTGTATTAATACGCATGTATGAATTGGAAATGTGTTTTCTGCATACCGGTATCCCAACTCTCCCTGAGAGATGGTCTGACATAATTAACAGCAACCCCTAGAGCAATTACGATTAAGTGCCTTGCTCAAGGCCACATCAACAGAATTTTCACATTTGTGACTCGGGGGATTCGAACTAGCAACTTTTCAGTTATTGGCCCAACGCTGTAAATACTAGGCTACCTGCCGCCACTTCTCCAAAAAGTTGAGTAAACTCAAAAAGTCTGTGGAACTAGTTACTAAAATATCTTGAGTTGGGCCACCTTGGATTATTTTTTTTACAGTGTAAGTCAGATATTACAGTGGTGGGTGATCCGAGCCATGTTCCAGTGCCTTCTCAATCGAGTTTCCAGATTGCATTAGGAGTCCGATTTGTAAATGAAACATTACAGATGTGAGTGAAGTCATATTATGGGATTGCATGTGGCTGCTAATTGAAAACATGCTCTGGGAGGGCTGCTTGTGCTGGGGTATCGCTAATTACACTAACCCCTGTTCTGTTTGTGGGAGAAATAAAGACCAGATTTAGCATTTGCCCAATGAAAAGACAGGATAAATCTATTGGTGTTCTAGCTCTGTGGCAGTGCTTCGTCTCTTATTATCTTTCCATTTGCTTTGGTTGAATGTTGGAATTAGATCTTATTGGTCAAATAGCCTACATATATCGTGGTCCTCTGTAGCTCAGCTGGTAGAGCACGGCGCTTGTAACGCCAAGGTAGTGGGTTCGATCCCCGGGACCACCCATACACAAAAATGTATGCACGCGTGACTGTAAGTCGCTTTGGATAAAAGCGTCTGCTAAATGGCATATTATATTATTATTATATCATTGCTGGTGCTGCACTTGAGCTGGTTCTCCCATAGAGATAGATAGAGGACTCTAGAGCCCGAAAGCCTGATTTAGCATGGGCAGCATCATTGAGGACTTTCACCATTTTGAAGTAGCCAACTGGGTGGGACTTCCAATGGGTTAAGGAAGGATCACAAAATGATGTAGCTGGTCCGCACTCAAAAAGGAGATTCAAGGTTTCTTTATAGTATTTAGTTCATTCGGTGGTAGGTAGATAGACAAACATTTCGGCCTTCCTAAGCCTTCAACAGTGTAATTCACAAGGATCACATAATTCCATCCGGGTCATCAGGAGGGATCAGCCAATGAACTATACTCGTAAGCAAACATTCCATAACTGCAGGTGGCAATAAATCACCAATCTTGGCTTTATACCTGTTCAGACAACACACTCCAGGTGGCAGTATGCATCCTTTCTGTTTGTTTACCAACTCATAGAAGTAGTTGTAGAATAAAATGGACTACTTCAAAATGGAGATGCCAGTGCACTCACAGATGCCATAAATAGGACTGATACAAAGAAGAGTCCTCTATCATTCTCTATGGGTTCTCCCAAACTCCAAGGTAAATCAAGCGCACCTCAAATACTTTCAAGTAGGCCTATTTTAAAGTATTTTACGTATTTGACCCAGGTTTTTAGTAAACACTTGACTTGTGTCTCACTTGACTTGAGAGAGTCAATCAAAGAACTTGAGTATCATAGCACCTTTTAAGTGTACAAATCATGTTTGACACAGTTGGTCTCACCATACAATATTTTTCTCTTCCCCAACACATTCGGCTTAGTGGTTTCAAGCAGCTTGTGTCCGTCAAAGAGTTTAGTAACTTACGTACAGTCACTTATTGAAATACTGTCAAATACACAACGTCATGGATTGCTTTTGTCAAGGTTTCTGTCCACCCCTCTACTCTATAGAAATGATTGTTAATCTAGATTTGAAATACATTTGATATGACATTCAGATGAGATTCAGATGGATCTGTTGTATTTCATGGTCATATAATGTTCCAGCTCACACCACCCTTGGCTACACAGAGAGACAACCCTGCTAGCTATGGCAGCCATGCCGTACCCAGTGCCTCTACTCAGCCTCATATTCATTTATCATTATAATCATTATAACTTTTCTTTCTGAACCAATTAACTCCCACAGCATATATATATATATATTTTTTTGTCATTTAGCAGACGCTCTTATCCAGAGCGACTTACATGAGCAATTAGGGTTAAGTGCCTTGCTCAAGGGCACATCGACAGATCTTTCACCTAGTCGGCTCGGGGATTAGAACCAGCGACCTTTCGGTTACTGGCACAACGCTCTTAACCACTAAGCTACCTGCCGCCCCATATTAACTTATTGGCGCACGTCGAGGGCATAAAACATTGTTTTGTAGCAACCAAGGCATGGATGGTGCTGCGCTTGCAGCTGACTGTGCAAAAGATGAGAGAACCTCTCAAAATATATTTTTAGTTATATTATTAGTTATTCTTTGTTTTATTCTATTGACATGATTCTGCCTCAAATTTCCCATTTTAGAAGTTAGGACAGCCTGCATTGATGTGGCCTTATTGCGCCATGTTCAGTGTTTCTGATTATGACTATTCCTTCTCTTTTACAGACCATGGAGACTATAGACACTGGGAAACCCTTCCTACATTCTTTCTTCATTGATCTGGACGGCAGCATCAAAACCCTTAGATACTATGCCGGTTGGGCCGACAAGATACATGGCAAAACCATGCCTGTAGGTAAGTGTCTCTGTGCTGCTTTAAACCCTTTTAGATTGCCAGACTATTACTTTAACCTACAGGTATAGTGCATTATGATGTGGTCATAATGTATTGTATGATTTGTTAAAAGCATGTAGGCTTATGACCCCTTGTAATGTCTAAGTATCATCTCATAATGATCCAGTTATTACCATTTCATACATTTATAATATAACAAGATTTCCAAACAGTGTTATTACAGGTAATAATGCATTATAACTGACAGCTTTTGTTAAAGTATTGCCCAAAAAGGTCCATGACCTGTCAATCTGAGCAAGCTGTTTCGCAACAATCACTTGTCTCTCTCCTTTGTGGCGTAATGGCTCACATAGACTCTCTGTCCAGTATATGATTAGCCCACTGGTTATGCACAGTCGTCAAGAAACGAGTTAATTAGCAGTCGAGTCACTCAGCCGGTCCATCAATTGTCCGCAGACCTGGGTGGCATCTCATCCGTCCTCTTAATACTTCCCCCTTGCACAGCGTCAAAAACCATCCTCGGCCACCACGGCAGGACGTCAGATAGACAAAACAGGCTTCCCTCTTTCCTCCTGATTAGATTCCAATGGGGCAGTTGAGAGACGAAAGGCTGCCGAGGACAAAGGAAGAGGAAGAGGGGGCTGATGGTAATCAGCGAGGTGCAACAGTCTGTGTCGGGATTAGCTGAGAATCAGACACTCCAGATCAGTGCCTCATCAACGCCTCCGAGCTAGTCCCTCCCCCTCCCTCCCCCTCCAGCTCTGGGCCTAAATACAGCTCTGGGCCTAAATAAGCGAAGGTGCACTACATAGGGAATAGGGTGCCATTTGGGACACAGTCTAATTCCCTCTACTGTACATCCCATGTCCACTCCACTGGCTATGGAAATGTAACCTTTGATAAGCGGTATAGCGTGGGGTGAGTAGGCTCACCCAGTAACCCCGGGAGATAATAGGGCCTGGGAGATGAGCGTTGTGTGTGTAGGAGTCTGTCTGTCTGTAATCACCACATACATCAATAGGAGAAACAAGAGAAGAGAGAGGATCGGATTGAACCGATTATCTAGGCTATCAGCTGGGCTTTTGTGGAGGTGGAGGGGGATCATGCAAAATGTCACGGAAGCAAGGTGAAAGGAAGCAAGGTGAAAGGAAGCAAGGTGAAAGGAAGCAAGGTGGAAGGAAGCAAGGTGAAAGGAAGCAAGGTGGAAGGAAGTAAGGTGAAAGGAAGTAAGGTGAAAGGAAGCAAGGTGGAAGGAAGTAAGGTGAAAGGAAGCAAGGTGAAAGGAAGCAAGGTGGAAGGAAGTAAGGTGAAAGGAAGCAAGGTGGAAGGAAGTAAGGTGAAAGGAAGCAAGGTGGAAGGAAGTAAGGTGAAAGGAAGCAAGGTGGAAGGAAGTAAGGTGAAAGGAAGCAAGGTGAAAGGAAGCAAGGTGGAAGGAAGCAAGGTGAAAGGAAGCAAGGTACCATAGGGCTCTGGTCAAAAGTAGTGCACTGTATCAGGAATAGGGTGCCATTTAGGAGGCATCATTGGAGTCAGTTTGTTGTTCTAGTCACTATCTCAGAAGGATTGACCTTAGTTGCAGAGATACTGTGGTACAGTATTGGGAAAGGATTTTGAAATGTCTTGTGTTGGTATAATTTCATGTTACTATGCAGTATTATACATGTATTTTATAATAGACAGTTTCCTGTCTTTGTTTTATGTAGGCCTACCTTGTTTGCTGTTAGAGTTGGGGGCACTAAAAGGTTTGGTTGCACCACAGTAGACTATTGGTGGAACAATTGCTGCAACGCATGTGCAACATGGTGCACTAAGATCTTGTAAATTGATAGTTGTTGAGACAGGGTTTTACAGGATTTTAACAAACCTTTCAGTACCCGCAACACCCAAGTAAGTACATTCTGCTTAACAAAGTAGTTTAAGATAAACTCTATTGCATAAACATTCTAACTTAACTTATTTATAGTTCAACTATATTTACCATAAAAAGCCAGTTGACTACTACAGAGAAAGAGGAGGGTGGGACATTGCAGCAATTAAATGGGGGGGGGGACACTTTTAATTGCCCCAACCCCATTCCAAGAAGGTCAAGGGTGACATTTCACCATAAACAGTAGGCTTAATAGTCTGGTTATTGGTGTCTCTAGATCCACCTGCTCTATTTCCTTCTATTAAACAGGACTTTCAGCCATGTGAGTAGCAAAGCACAGGGACTTTTAGGACGGGCAGAGGATGAGTGTCAAAATGACTGTGTTCCCGTTTATATGGAGAGCTTAATAAGGATATTTTTGACCATCATTCGAAAATGCAAATGGTTGATGTAGCTAAATAAATGAGAAAGGATGCCACATTTAAACAGACTTTAAACTTGAAGTAATGTGTCATTTTGAATGGAGAGAGATTGATAATGAGTCTCTTGTTGTTGTGTTGTTGTTTCTCCAGATGACACTTTTATGTGTTTCACCAAACATGAGCCCATAGGTGTGTGTGGAGCCATCATTCCAGTAAGTAAGACCAGTGGCTGCTTTGTGTTTGTGACTCTGTAATAATAATATATGTAGAATCTGCTGGCAGGGTGTGAACAAGTACTAAACACATGCTACTGCTGTGCTACAGCTAAACACAATGACTTGGCAAATAGGAGTTGTGAAATTCACCTACATTGACTTAAAGATGCATGCGCACACACACACACACATCACGCACCCACCCACCCACCCAACGGCCCACCCACCCACCCACCGACCCACCCACCCACCCAACGGCCCAACGGCCCACCGACCCACCCACCCACCCAACGGCCCACCCACCCACCGACCCACCCACCCACCCACACACCGACCCACCCACCCACCCAACGGCCCACCCACCCAACAGCCCACCCACTGACCCACCCGCCCACCCAACGGCCCACCCACCCCCCAACGGCCCACCCACACACCAACCCACCCACCCACCCAACGGCCCACCCACCCAACGGCCCACCAGCCCGCCCACCGACCCAACCACCCACCCACCCACCGACCCCAACGACCCCACCCACCCCCCACCCAACGTCCCACCCACCACGGCCCACCTACACGACCCACCCACCACCAACGCCCACCCACCTACCCGGCCCACCCACCCACCCCCCGACCACCCACCCAACGGACCCACACCCACCACCCAACGGCCCACCCACCACCTACCCACCCACCCCCCAAACTGCCCACCCACCCGCCCACTCCCACAACCCACCCCCACCCACCCAACCTGAACGTCCCACCCACCCACCCACCCAACTGCCCCCACCCACCCACCCACCCACCCAACTTCCCACCACCACCAACCACCACCCAACTGCCCAAACCCACCTAGCCCACCCACCGACCCACCCACCACCCAACGGCCCACCCACCCACTGACCCACCCACCCACCCACCCAAAGTCCCAACCACCCAACAGCCCAGCCATCCACACACACAGCATTTGTGTCATGCCCGATCATGGCACTTTGCCTACCATATTTCCACTGGGAAAGGCATTGTAAAGTAGTCCGTCATTGTAAAGTAGTCCGTCATTGTAAAGTAGGCCGTCATTGTAAATAAGAGTTTGTTCTTAACTGACTTGTCTAGTTAGATAAAGGTTAAATAAAAAATAAAAAATAAATAAATCCCTCATACATCTGGACAGTGTGTGTGTATGTCAGAGGTGTACAGTGCAGTGAGTTTACCTTCACTGTAACAGAATCCCCACAGACGATAGCCATGGGACATAGTCTCAGATACTGGCCTACAGTACAGCAGGCTGTTGGAGATTTAGAATAGTGATGGACGGACGCCACATTGGCACCAAAACTCTCCTTTATTCTAGAGACAAGGGAGAATGTTATTGTGTGTGTGTGTGTGTGTGTGTGTGTGTGTGTGTGTGTGTGTGTGTGTGTGTGTGCCAAACACAAGAGCCGTTCATCAAGCTTTTTACTGTCAGTGCTGTCACCCCAAAACCATATTGTTCCGTGCCTCAGCTCCAAGGGCATTACATGTCCCTGGCACGTACAGAAATATAACTCTTAGCATGCATGTTGACAGTCATAGATCAGTAGAGCTGCAGCAATAACGAGATAGTTAAATAGATGCTGTGTCCCAAATGGTACCCTATTACTTACATAGTACACTACTTTTGACTGAGCGCTATAGGCTGTAGTGCACTATATAGGGAATAGGGTGCCATTTGGGATGCATTAGAGTAAATGATCCCATTATATTCTCAGGTAACATCTTTCTTGAAAGTGCATTTTGAGGTAAATGCAACTTTATTTGGAACAATAACAAAAATGAAGATTTGAGTTTGGACTGGTCTTAAAAATGTTTATTCGTAAGTGGGTCGCAGTAAAACTGCACTTTACCAACTTCAACTCGATCTGAGGGTGAAATTAAATCTTGGACATGTACTGGAAATCTAATCCTAATCTCTACCTTTTCTTTTCAAAGCACTCTCGCTCTTAATCCAACTGAAGTGTACCGTTAAAGGAACACGACTGCTTACAACTATACATTAAGGTCACATCCCAAATGGCACCCTCCTCCCTATATAGTACACCACTTATGACCAGGGCCCCCTCCACTATATGGGGAATACGGTGTCATTTAGGATGCAGACTTGCAGATCCAAAAAAACATCCATATTTCCTTTTTGATTATAACATAATCAGATTGCTTGGAGTGGGATAGCAGTCCATGTAGGCTAGAGTAAAGGCTATCACATTGCACAGTGTTCACTACAGTCTAGACCAGACGGAGTGTCCTTTCTTCTTCTACATTTTGACTGACTGAATGCGGCCAATGGGCTTTCTCTGCTAGCATAAGTCTATATCTTCTTATGTTGCTCCGGCAACAAAGGAACAAGAAGGCTGTTGTTCGACATGGGAGATTATATCATCAAAATGAAATTTATACTGAAGGACGTCGTGTAATTACTAAAAGCACCACTGGCACTCACGCAGACCATGAGTCATCGCTTAGGAAAACAGGAAGCTCGTTTTTAGGGTTACACATCCAAAAAAATCCTAATTGTGGCAGCTGTATCCAAATCATTGTAAAAGTTAACAATGCTTAAACAGTAAACATTAGGATTCTTACACGCGTTTGCTGTCTAATATGTGTTTGAGGGCCCAGTTATTTGTTCATTTGTTTCATTAAGTTCTCTGGAGGGAAAATAACAGGGCAGAGAGAAGAAAGGTTTTCTAAGCAGATTGTTTGAATCATCACTTTATAGGATGACAGAACAATGGTCTTGTTATTTCTCTCGAATCAAATCATCACACTTTTTGCTCTGTACTGAAAGTGCTCTATCTTGAAAACTTGGCTGCTGACATGCAAAAAAAAAAAGGATCATATTAACAGTGGACTAATGAAGAAAATACTAAATTATATACACTTGTTTTGTTTCTCCTAGTGGAACTTCCCCCTGCTGATGTTCATGTGGAAGGTGGCCCCAGCGCTGTGCTGTGGGAACACTGTGGTCATCAAGCCAGCCGAGCAGACCCCTCTCACAGCCCTGCACGTAGGATCTCTCATCAAAGAGGTGAGAGAGACTTTCAAGTACAACAGGGGCCTCCAACTCCATTGCTGAAGAGCTATACTGGGTGAGCAGGCTTTTGTTCCAGCCCAGCACAAACACATTCAATTTGGTCGTGGTGCAGACTGAAGGGGCCACGATTGGTTGATTATTTGGAACAGTCAGGTGTGTCAGTGTTGGATTGGAAGTAAAGCCTGCACTCTCTGTAGCTCTCCAGGATCGGATTGGGAGAATCCTGCATTGTAATGAAGAGAGATATTATATGCAACTATCCCAAAAAACTATCCTAAAAGTGAACGTGCACTTTCTGTCCTTTATAAGAAAAACAACAGGCAATCTGTTGGTCCTCCTCAGGACACATGAACTATTACATCTGTTGACCAGGACACACACCTGAGGTCAAACTATAGACCCTTCTCCTCTCCTCTCCTCTCCTCTCCTCTCCTCTCCTCTCCTCTCCTCTCCTCTCCTCTCCTCTCCTCTCCTCTCCTCTCCTCTCCTCTCCTCTCCTCTCCTCTCCTCTCCTCTCCTCTCCTCCTCTCCTCTCCTCTCCTCTCCTCTCCTTTCCTTTCCTTTCCTTTCCTTTCCTTTCCTTTCCTTTCCTTTCCTTTCCTTTCCTTTCCTTTCCTTTCCTTTCCTTTCCTTTCCTCCCTCTCCTCTCCTCTCCTCTCCTCTCCTCTCCTCTCCTCTCCTCTCCTCTCCTCTCCTCTCCTCTCCCTCTCCTCTCCCTCCTCTCCTCTCCTCCCCCTCCTTTTCCCTCCTCTATTACAAACATCTTTCCCTTCACTCTGCTCCTCATGTCGGGGCTCAGGAGAGCAAATATGAAGGTCTTCAGCGTAGAACCTAAATCAATACAGTGTGTGTTTGTGTACATGCGCGTGCTGTTGTGCCTGTGTGTATGTGTGTACAGTATGAAATTAGACTGTAGTAGTGACTCGCAGGTCATGAGACATTTGGTTTCAAACCTATTTGGCTTCTCTTCCCGGCCATTACTCCAAATGATCCCAGGCTGTTTTATACCCAGAGAAAAGCCCCGGTCTTATGCGATTAGACCAGCTCGCTTTTATCATGTCGACGGTAATGATTTTGAAAGGGAAAGACAAGAGTTCTGCTTCTAATCATTGGGTAAATGAGAGTTGTTCAGCCAATCAAAGACGACAATGGAAATTGAATAGAAAAAAGACGTATTTATTATATATATTAAATAACAAGCTCCTGGTGCCGCCTGGTGTAATCCGCTGAGTAACTCTCTGATACTCACACACTGTGCTCCTTAAAGGGACATTTCACTCCTAAATGAAAGTTTGGCCTATGTGTCCGGACCTTAAGAGTAGTCTAATGTCAAGGTGAAACCACGTCCCACAACATCCGTTTTGTGTGTAGATCCTGCTAACTTTGATTTGAAAAGTGTAATGTACCTTTAACTCATACATGTTGACTGAGTTAAGAGGTAGCGAGAAGCGTACCTTATTCCCATGCACATGGTGCTGATCACTAACATTCTTCGTCGGGTTGCCATGATAGGCCGGTTTCCCCCCCGGAGTGGTGAACATCGTGCCAGGGTTCGGCCCCACGGCAGGCGCAGCCATTGCTAGCCACATGGGCATCGACAAAGTGGCGTTCACGGGTTCTACAAAGGTACGTGCATGTTTGGAAGTATGCATAATGCTGGAAGCGACGGGGCAACTGGTTGGAAGACTGTGTTTTTTTGTAACCGTTCACTGTCTGTTCCAAGATTAACAGACCTGGGTTCAAGTAGTATTTTCCTTTCAAATAGTCTGCCTGGAGTGTCAGATGGGCGGGGTTTGCACTTTTGGGACTAGTTTGTGTGTTCCATTGTACCAGACAAGCTCAATCAAGTGCAGCTAAAGTATCAAAAGGAAACAAATACTATTTGAACCCAAGGCTGAAAATAAATGATTTTTCAAAGCCAAGTGGGGTACAGGATTGTATGATAAAAGTCACATTTATTTGACACTTGTTTAAACATTTTGGTATCTTTCTCATTTCGGCATGCAGTACATGCTTTCATTAACAGTCTGTCTCACCGATACCAGTCCCTCGTGCCCTATCAAATCCCAATGTACATTTAAAAAAGTATTTGTTTGAACTGAATGTCCCGTATGACACATTGTTATATGACTTCCCCCTGTGATCCGTCCTCGCCCTGTTTGTCTCCCCAGGTAGGCCAGTTGATCAAAGAGGCCGCAGCCAAGAGTAATCTGAAAAGAGTGACTTTGGAGCTGGGTGGGAAGAACCCCTGCATTGTCTTTGCTGACTCGGACTGTAAGTGATGTGGTTACTGTCTCTCTATTAAACCAACAAGGCAGACAGGGAGAACAAAGACAGCAGCTTGGCTAGGCGCAGAGGAAAGGGCTTTGACACAGTGTGTGTGTGATCAACAGTGTGCCTGTAAGCAATAGAGCTCGAGACTGATTGCGAACTGTGTGATAGTTAGCGTGACGGACATTGTGCCATCGTGACTCCTATCCTATAACACGATAACCCAGCGGGCAAAACTGGTTGCAATGACGTCTTTACGACGTCTCTGAAGACGTCATGGTCAGGTTGTCTACTGGTTGTAAAAGGACAGGGTTTCTGTTCAATTTGTTTGTGACCAGAAAAATACATGTTTACCTGGTTCTAATCTTGTTATCTGACATCTCTACGACCAGAAACCAAGTTTACAATCAGGAAATGATGTCATAATGATGCCAAATGTTGCCCTCAGGGTAGATGTTGCCAATTGTTCTGTTATTGCTCTGAGGGACTCTAATGGAGGAAAGAACAACCCACACTCACTGTATTAGGCTATGTCCCAAATGCCACCCTATTCCCTATAGTGCCTATGGGCCTCGGTCACAAGTAGTGCACTATATAGGGAATAGGGTGGCATTTGGGACTCACCCTTAGTCTTAAATGTAAATGTAAATTTAGAAGCAGCAGAGGTCACACAAATGGAGGCGTTTTGGCGACAGCCTTCGTCAGCATTTCTCTTATGTTCACTAACAGTGCAGTTGGCGGTGGAGGAGACCCAAAAGGGAGCCTTCTTCAACCAGGGCCAGTGCTGCACGGCCGCGTCGCGTGTCTTCGTGGAGGAACAGGTCTATGAGGAGTTTGTACGCCGCAGCGTCGAGAGTGCCAAGAGTATCGTCATAGGAGACCCCCTGGACCCACGCACATCACACGGACCACAGGTATCTCTTCTCTTTTCTCCTCCTCTCCCCCCTCTCCTCTCTCTTCTTCTCTTCTCTTCTCTCCTCCTCTCTCCCCCCCTCCTCTCCTCTTCTTCTCTTCCTCTTCTCTCCTCCTCTGCCCCTACCTCTCTTCGTCTTCTTCCTCCTCCTCTTCCCCTCTCCCTCTCCCCCCTTTTTCCCCCCTCTCCTCTTCTTCTTCCTTCTCTCCCTCCCTCCCCCCTCTCCTCTCTCTTCTTCTCTTCTCTCCTCTCCCCCCTCGTTCTCTCTCTCACTCTTCTTCGTCTCCTCCTCTACCCCCTCCTCCTCTCTCTCTCTCGTCTTCTCTTCTCTCCCCTCTCCTTCTCCTCTTCTCTTCTTCTCCTCCTCTCCTCCCCCTCACCCTCTCTTCTTCTCTTCTCTCCGTTCCCTTCGCTCTCCCCCCCCTCTCCTCTCTCTTCTTCCTTCTCTTCCTCCTCTCGCTCCTAACCCTCTCCTCTCACTCTTCTTCTCCTCCTCTCCGCCTCTCCCCGCCGCCCTCTCCTTCTTCTCTTCCTCTCTCTCTCTTCTCCTCTTCTCTCCTCTCTCTCTCCCCCCTCTCTCTCTCTCTTCTTTCCTCTCTCCTCTCTCCCCCCTCTCCTCTTCTCTCTCTTCTCTCTTCTTCTCTCTCCTCTCTCTCCTCTCCCCTTCTCTCTCCTCTCTCTTCTCCTCTCTCCTCTCTTCTTCTCTCTCCCTCTCTCTCCTCCTCTCTTCTTCTCTTCTCTCTCTCCTCTCCTCCCTCTCTCTTCCTCCTCTCCCCCCTTCTCCTCTTCTTCTTTTTCTCTTCTTCCTCTCTCTCTGATCTTTTTCTTCTCTTCTCTCCTCCTCTCCCCCCCTCTCCTCTCTTTTCTTTCTCCTTCTTCTCTCTGATTGGAGTGTTCTGCCAGAGAGGCCTCTCAGACAGGTGTTTGAAACTCAGACAGGTGTTTGTCAGAAACTCTCCACTGACACAGAGCAAGTCGTCCGAACGCCACAAACCCCAGTCATTGTGTCTGTGATGCTGGCCAGTAGAAAAGCATCTCAAATATGTCGACTTACACCAAAATGCTCAAATATGGGGCAACAGACAGTATACAGTATTCAAATCAAATCAAATTGTATTTATCACACGCGCTGAATACAACTGGTGTAGACTTTACAGTGAAATGCTTGCTTACTAACCTTTCCCAATGATGCAGAGCTTAAAAATAATAATACAAATAAAATAGTAACACAAGAGGAATAAAATAAAATACACAAGAATGCAGCTATATACAGGAACTACCAGTACCAGATCAATGTGGAGCTATATACAGGGAGTACCAGTACCAGTCAATGTGGAGCTATATACAGGGAGTACCAGTACCAGGTCAATGTGGAGCTATATACAGGACGTACCAGTACCAGATCAATGTGGAGCTATATACAGGACGTACCAGTACCAGATCAATGTGGAGCTATTAGCCGGAGGACCAGTACCAAGTACCTGGGATATAAGTGGAGACTAGTTACCAGGGGAGTATCAGGGAGTACGAGTACCAGGTCAATGTGGAGCTATATACAGGGAGTACCAGTACCAGATCAATGTGGAGCTATATACAGGGAGTACCAGTACAGATCAATGTGGAGCTATATACAGGGAGTACCAGTATCAGATCAATGTGCAGAGGTACGGGGTATTTGAGGTAGATATGTACATGAAGGCAGGGTAAAGTGACTAAGCATCAGGATAGATAATAATATGAGTAAAATAAAAAACAGAGTAGCAGCAGCAAATGATGAGTGTAAGTGTGTGTGTGCATGTGTGTGCATGTGTGTACTGTATGTGTGTTTGAATTGGTATGCGTGTGTGTTATGTGTGTGCGTATGTAGTGTATGTGAATGTGTGAGGGTTTTGTGTGGGAGTGACAGTGCAGTGTGTGTGTGTGAGTGAGTGAGTGAGAGTGAGTGAGTGAGTGAGTGAGTGAGTGAGTGAGTGAGTGTGTGAGTGAGTGAGTGAGTGAGTGAGTGAGTGTGTGAGTGAGTGAGTGAGTGAGTGAGTGAGAGTGAGTGAGTGAGTGAGTGAGTGAGTGAGTGAGTGAGTGAGTGAGTGAGAGTGAGTGAGTGAGTGAGTGAGTGAGTGTGTGTATATGGTGTGTATATGGTGTGTATATAGAGTCTAGTGAGTGAGTGTGTGTATATGGTGTGTATATGGTGTGTATATAGAGTCTAGTGAGTGTGTGTGTATATGGTGTGTATATAGAGTCTAGTGAGTGTGTGTGTGTATATGGTGTGTATATAGAGTCTAGTGAGTGTGTGTGTGTATATGGTGTGTATATAGAGTCTAGTGAGTGTGTGTGTGTATATGGTGTGTATATGGTGTGTATATAGAGTCTAGTGAGTGTGTGTGTGTATATGGTGTGTATATAGAGTCTAGTGAGTGTGCGTAGGGTCAGTGCAAGATAGAGTCAGTGCAGATAGTTCGGGAACCATTAGTTGACTACTTAGCAGTCTGGCAATTTAGCAGTGTTATGGTTTGGGGGTAGAAGCTGCCTTGGAGCCTGTTGGTCCGAGAGCTGATGCTCCGGTACCGTTTGCCTGGACGGTAGCAGAGTGAACAGTCTATGGCTTGGGTGGCTGGAGTCTTTGTCAATTATTCACGATTAGATCAGTTCCTAACTTTGGACCAAATCCTACAGATGTAGTATCTTCAGTTGAGCCAGTTTGCTACGGCAGGAAAATAATCCTGCAGCAACAGGAAATGTGCATTTTTATTTAACTAGGCAAGTCAGTTAAGAACAAATTCTTATTTACAATGACGGCCTACACCGGCCAAACCCGGACGACGCTGGGCCAATTGTGCGCTGCCCTATGGGACTCCCAATCACGGCCGGTTGTGATACAGCCTGGAATCGAACCAGGTGGTCTGTAGTGACACCTCAAGCACTGAGATGCAGTGCCTTAGACCGCTGCGCCACTTGGGAGCCCAAGGATTTGGTTAATGGACATTTTTGTAGGGGGTTGATACATTTTTCATAGGGCAAATCAAGTCTGGAATTTCTAAGCCTTTTTAAAACTCAAATACACTAAAAGTTAGCATTTCCTGCGGTGCAGGAAAGTTCTCAGCAACAAAAAAGTGATCAAATGAAGATCATACATCTGTAACTTGAGAGCTGTGTGCTTAACTCAGATATTCATGTAAGTCATGCAGTGAAGTCAATCAAATATTATCTCAAGTTAACTGTGCAGACCACAAATTAGGATTCAGTCCTTTACTTTAAGTATACAGCTGATAGCATGAGAAGATGTGGGACAGTTACAGAACATAGCCTTCAGGTCTTTTCTGACAGAAACTTAGTTTCCATTACGCCGTTGGCTATCAATGTAGGCTATCTGTCACGATCGTGTGGACGAGAAGGAGTAGACCAAGGCGCAGCGTGTGCAACGAACATGACTTTAATAGTAAAGCACAAAATACAAAACAAAACACGATCGAGAAGTCCACAGTAACACTGACTGACAACGGAACAAAAACCCACAACCCTAATGTGAACACTGACAGTTTAAATATGGCTCCCAATCAGAGATAACGAGCCGACAGCTGACACTCGTTACCTCCGATTGGGAGTCACATGACTACACCAGAAACTAACCAAAACCAAACACAACCAAAACAAAACACAACAAAACGAACACACCCTGGCTCAACATACAAAGTCCCGGAGCCAGAGCGTGACAGTACCCCCCCCTAAAGGCGCGGACTGCGACCGCGCCTCAAAAACCCCAAACAGGGGAGGGCTGGGTGGGCATTGCTCCTCGGAGGCGGCTCCGGCTCCGGGCTTGACCACCACCCCTCTTCAATCCCCCCGTAGCGCCCCCGGTCCGATCTGACCCAGCTGGTAGGATCTGGACTGACGACGCGCACCCCTGGCTTGGCGCGTGAGGCAGGAACGGACCGGACCTGGCTGACGATACGCACCCTAGGCTTGGTGCGTGAAGCCGGAACGGGCCTCACCAGGCTGACGACTCGCATCCCCGGCTTGGTGCGAGTAGCAGGAACGGGCTGGACCAGGCTGACGACTCGCACCCTTGGCTTGGTGCGAGTAGCAGGGACGAGCTGGACCAGGCTGACGACTCGTACCCCTGGCTTGGTGCGTGGAGCAGGGACAGGCCGGGCTGGGCTGGCGACGCACACCGTGGACCTGGTGCGTGGAGCAGGGACCGGCTGGGCTGGGCTGACGACGCACACCGTGGGCTTAGTGCGTGGAGCAGGAACAGGCCGGTCTGGGCTGGCGACGCACCCCGTAGGCTTGGTGCGTGGAGCAGGGACCGGCTGGGCTGAGCTGACGACGCACACCGTGGGCCTGGTGCGTGGAGCAGGGACAGGCCGAGCTGGGCTGACGACGCACACCGTGGGCCTGGTGCGTGGAGCAGGGACAGGCCGGGCTGGGCTGGCGACGCCCACCGTAGGCTTTGTGCGTGGAGCAGGGACAGGCTGAGCTGGGCTGACGACGCACACCGTAGGCTTTGTGCGTGGAGCAGGAACAGGCCGGACCGGGCTGGAGACGCGCACCGTCCATTTGGTGCGAGGGGCCGTAACAGGCCGGACCGTACTGGGGACACACACCACTGGCTCTACTCCGGGAACTGGAACGGGCCGGACCGGACTGGTAACACACCCCAGTACCTCTCGCCATGCCTCTAAACCTCCTTTCCCTACTTTGACCAGTGGCCCCCGTAACCTGGTGGCCTTTTGAATTCGCCCCTTCTCTGCCTCCGTCAGCCCCGTCGTCCATGCCCTGTGCCCCCCCCTAAAAAATTCTTGGGGGTGCCTCTCGTCCCTCCGACGCTGCTCCCACATCCAGGCTGCCGATTCCTGGACACGCTGCTTGGTCCTTTGATGGTGGGTTTTTCTGTCACGATCGTGTGGACGAGAAGGAGTAGACCAAGGCGCAGCGTGTGCAACGAACATGACTTTAATAGTAAAGCACAAAATACAAAACAAAACACGATCGAGAAGTCCACAGTAACACTGACTGACAACGGAACAAAAACCCACAACCCTAATGTGAACACTGACAGTTTAAATATGGCTCCCAATCAGAGATAACGAGCCGACAGCTGACACTCGTTACCTCCGATTGGGAGTCACATGACTACACCAGAAACTAACCAAAACCAAACACAACCAAAACAAAACACAACAAAACGAACACACCCTGGCTCAACATACAAAGTCCCGGAGCCAGAGCGTGACACTATCAGTACAGCTTCACTAAAGATCGCTTGTGGTGGGAGCAGAAAACATCCCCTTATTTTTCTAGCTGTTCTTTCTCTCCTGTGCCAGCTTTGGATGTGTGTAAATTAATACTCCCTTTATATCCATTACTTTACCTTTTGTGTAATGACATCACCCTGCCTGCCTCCAACTTAACGAAACCACTTGTCTCTCTACTCACAACAAAGAAGGAGAGAGCAAGAGAGCGAGCAGAGAGAGAGAGAGCAGAGAGAGGCGAGGAAGAGAGAGCAAGAGAAGAGCGAGAGATGAGAGAAGAGAGAGACGAGAGAGAGAGCGAGAGCGAGGCAGAGAGAGAGAGGGCGAGAGGAGAGAGAGAGAGAGAGAGAGCGAGAGAGAGGGCGAGAGAGAGAGAAGAGGAGAGAGAGGGAGAGCGAGAGAGGGAGAGGACGCAAAGAAGGAGGAAGAGAGAAGCGAGAGCCGAAGAGACGCAGAGAGAAGCGAGTCAGAGAAGGCAGAGAGCGAAAGCGAAGCAGGACGAGCAACGAGGGAGATCGCGAGGATGAGAGCAGAGCGCAAGAGAGAGAGCGAGCGAAAGATGAGCGCCGAGGAGACGTAGCAGGATGAAGAGGTGGAGAGCGAAAGGCAGACGAGTAGAAGAAGAGACAGAGATAGACGAGACGAAGAGCACGAAGACGAGGACACGAGCGCGGAGCGAAGAGAAGCTCCGTTCTCATCTCCTATTTCCCTCTTTCTTCTCCGCTTCCTCTTCTGCAATCTTCACTTCCGTGCTATTTCTCTATCTCCTCCATACTCCTCTCTTCTGCTCTCCCTACTGCTCTCTCTCTCGCTCTCTCTCTCTTCTCCTCCCTCCCTCCCGCCCTCACCCCCCTCCCTCCCTCCCTCACTCATCTCCTCTCATCTCCTATCTTCCCCTGTTCCTCCAGATTGAGCAGAAGCAGTTTAATAAGATACTGGAGTTGATTGACAGCGGGAAGAAGGAGGGAGCCAAACTGGAATGCGGGGGCGTGGCCATGGAGGACACAGGCCTCTACATCCAGCCCACCGTATTCTCCCATGTCAAAGACCACATGCGCATCGCCAAGGAAGAGGTAAGAGATCCAAATGCTGATCTATGGTCAGTTTTGTGATTTTCTTGTCAGATGGTTAAGGTTAGGATTGGGGGATGATGCATCCGTCCACCACAACGCTGCCTGAAGAAGACTCTAGCAGTCGAAACGCGTCCTGATATGAATTATAAACTGGGTGGTTCCAGCCCTGAATGCTGATTGACTGACGGCTGTGGTATATCAGACCGTATACCACGGGTATGACAAAACATGTATTTTTACTCTTCTAATTACATTGGTATAAAAACAAAGAGAGTCGCACTCTATGTATAAACACCCAGTCATTTATTGGGTAAACCACCAACCTTCCGGCATACATTGGTAACCAGTTTATAATAGCAATAAGGCACCTCAGGGGTTTGTGGTATATGGCTAATATACCACGGCTAAGGGCTGTATCCATTTTTACATTTACATTTTAGTCATTTAGCAGACGCTTTTATCCAGAGCGACTTACAGTATCCAGGCACTCCGCGTTGCGTCGTGTGTAAGAACAGCCCTTAGCCGTGGTATATTGACCATATACCACACTCCCTCTGGCCAGATTGCTTAAATATACCACAGGCTGATCTGATCATTCTGTTCTCTGTATGTAATACCTGTAAATACTTAACTGAAGTGTTTCTGCATCGTATTGGCTGCCTACTGTTTCTTCTTTCGATGATTGGGGGAAGGAAAGCTGATCCTAGATCTGTGATCTGTGTCTACGGGGAACTTCTACCCAGAGCTAGGGGTTTCTGATGTTGGCATTACAGTGATTTCATTCATAAAAATGAGAACGCCACTACTGGTCCAGGCAGTTTTGTTGTATACCACTGCCATCTTCTGGTGGTGTGGTTGAAGTGCAGGTTCAGACAACGGTATATATATGGTTCAAACAAAGTAATCGTCATGCAGATGGATGGAGGGCGCTTCTTTGCATCTGTGGCATAATGACTTCTGTGACAGCATGGGCAGCGATCTTTCTCCGTTTTAAAGTAGTCAATTTCTTCTTGCATTTCTTCTATGAGTCTGTAAACAAATTGAAAGAGTGTATACTGCCACCTGGAGTGTGTTTTCTAAACAGGCATGAAGCCAAGGTTGGGGATTTACTGCCAGCTGCCATTCATTGGCTGATCCCTCCTGCTAACCTGGATGAAATTCTGTGATCCTTCCTTAACCCATAGAAAGGTCCACCCAGTTGACTACTTTAAAATGTTGAAAGTCCTCAATGGATCTGCCCATGCTAATACAGCCTTTGTGGCACTAGAGCTGTCTATCCAAGTCTATCGTCATGGTAAACCAGGATCGTATCATAGAAATAGATAGAGGACTCTAGTGGCCAAAAGCCTGTTTTAGCATGGGCAGCCCCATTGAGGACTTTCACCATTTTTAAGTAGTCAACTAGGTGGGGCTTCCTATGGGTTAAGGAAGGATCACATCATTCCCTCCAGGTCATCAGGAGGGTACAGTAAATGAATTATACTCGTGAGCAAACATTCCATAACTGCAGTTGGCAGTAAATTGCCAACCTTGGCTTTATACCTGTTCAAACAACACACTGCAGGTGGCAGTATGCAGCATTTCAGTTTGTTTACCAACTCATAGAAGTAGAAGAAGAATAAAATGTACTACTTAAAAATGGAGATGGCATCAATGGCACTGCTCATGCTCCCACAGACGCCATAAAGGGACAGATACAATGTTGCATCCTCTAACTATCTCAATGGGTCGTATTCACTAGACACCAAACTGAACATGTTTTACTGACACAGGGAGGGACTATCTGGACCTGTCAAATAACAAACACCAATGAATATGACCCAAGGCTATTCTGATTGGTGCTAATTGATCTGACAGAGATTCATTTGGACACAACACAACATTGACAGGGTTAAGCAGTGAAGTCATTGCATTTTTAAATTATTTTTTTATTCACATTATTCATCATATCCACGTCAATCCAAATTGGACGTTGAACTGACAGCTGTGCCCTGTGAGGTTTTGCTTTGTCCTTCTCCTGCTCACCATGGCCTGTTTGAATACGTAACAAACATACCTGTCTTTCCTCCTTGGGGTAATCACTGATCCAACACAAACTGATAGGTGTAAGCAACGGTTCTATCGCATAGCTTTACCAATCCAGCCATGTCACATCAGGGATTTCTTCAAAGGAGGGCGGTAGGAAGGATGCATTCGAAATGGGCATGTAATCTTCTCCATGACCCCATCCAGATCTTCGGTCCGGTCCAGTGTATATTCCGCTTCAAGAGCCAGCAGGAGGCCATAGAGAGAGCCAACAGTACGGAGTACGGCCTGGCTTCTGCCGTGTTCACACGCAATCTGGACCGGGCTCTCTCTGTGTCTGCCGCCCTGGAGACTGGCACCGTCTGGTAGGTTACTGTTAACTCCTGAACAATAGTACCATGATAGTATCATTATATATGACTACAACAACAACTATTAACTACTACTATTCCCATCCTAACAATTCATAACTAGTACTAGTATCCAAAATAGTGTAAGGAAGAGAACTGGATGTTAGTGATTGATTAGTAATGCCTGACCAGTTCTTATAAATACTGTAGGTTAGTCCCATAGAGATACTTTACTATTCCTTTACTCCATATGCTACTAACTACTACTTCCTACAGTACCACTTCTATTACCGTTTTACCACTGTACTCCCTATTCACTCCGACTTCGTATCCCCTACTTATACCTCTTCATGTTCCCATGAGAACACAGCTGTGGCTGCACAATGTGGCCACAAGACAGAGCTAGGTAGGTAGGTATCCCAGACAAAGCTCCTCTGTGTGGCAGTGAGAGGAGGACAGGGAGTGGGAGAGAAGAACGAAGAGATTTGAACGGCTGGAGAGACATTTACTTGGCACGCAATATCGGCTGAGCAATCTGTACTGTCATGATCATAGCGTTTCTTTACGTTTTACTCCCAGGTCAAGACCTCAGTCTGAACGTTTATGTTACGTTATGGCAGAGGAGTAGGTCCATCAGAACATAAGGTTATGGCCGCATTAGGATTGTGCAAATTAAGGTTATGACACTGGATGAGTGCGACATGCTATCGTGTCCCTGGTGAATTCTGGGAAGGAACTGAAGTTACTGTAAACAAAGACATTACTCTGCTTAGTCTCATCTCTTTCTCTCTCTCCCTCTCTGTCTCTGTCTGTCTCTCTCTCGCTCGCTCGCTCTCTCTCTGTCTCACTGTCTGTCTCTCTCTGTCTCTCACTGTCTGTCTCACTCTCTCTGTCTCTCTCTCTGTCTCTGTCTGTCTGTCTGTCTGTCTCTCTATCTCTCTCAGGGTTAACTGCTATAACGCCCTTCATGCCCAGGCACCATTTGGAGGATACAAAATGTCAGGCAATGGACGAGAGCTGTAAGAGTCATTTCTTTTCAACACTCTATGTGTGATGAAAGGGTTTACTAGTTTGTTTGCCCAAACTTTACACTTTTGCAAATGTTCTATACAATGTGAATGATTAGAACAATACAAATTCATTTGTATTTATTAACCTTTAGATTTTGATTCCTCAGGGGCGAGTATGCATTGGCAGAGTACTCTGAGGTGAAAGCTGTGACCATCAAACTAACTGAGACGCTGTGAGGGACACAGGAGAGACCACACCCCACTGCTAGAGCCCAGCCCAGCACTTCTCTTTCATCAACCCAGGCTGCGTCCCAACACTCTGAAGCCACTTCCTTTCCTAATCTTCTTGTCTCCTTTCCTTTATCACCTTTGGTCTTAAAGAGTTTGATTGGTGTGTGTGCTGTGCTCAAACCCTATTCAACCCATATTTCACCTATCAGTCAAAGTCACGAGGTGTAAAAGCCAAGGAAAGGATGCCATCGAAGGGTGTTGGGACACTGCAGTGGCTTGAAGTGGCTTTCTTTCGTTGGCAAATTAAAGGAGACAAGGAGAGGTGGCCAATCTGGAAGTGAATTGGAACGCAGCCAAACCCTATTAGAGTTTCAGCCCCTCCCACAGCTCTATTGTTCCAGGGGTGTATTCATAGGAACCAAATGGAAGCAAACTGGGAGGGACCTGCCTGAATTTGTCCAATAGAAATTGCTACGGTTTGCTACACTTTGCACTAATGAATACACCCCAGCCCTTTACAATGAGAATCTCCATTGAAAGGTTGTCCTCTGTAGCTCAATTGGTAGAGCATGGCGCTTGTAACGCCAGGGTAGTGGGTTCGATCCCCGGGACCACCCATACGTAAAAATGTATGCACACATGACTGTAAGTCGCTTTGGATAAAAGCGTCTGCTAAATGGCATATTATTATATTATTATTATTACAATACCACAGCACTTCACAGCTTCACTAATGCCCACCAACAGACGTGGTGTAGAATTTTTGACCTTCTTTGTCGCCAGTCCCATAGTAGCACGTGGGCCGTGTTCAGCAGAGCACAAAATTGTGGAACATTCAGATAGAAATATATTATGTAGAACAAACATGCCTCTGATTTGTAGAATAAGGAATCACCACGTCAGCTCTAGTCATAGCATTTCTATCTGCAACGTTCCACAACGTTTGCCTACACTGAACGCAGCCCAGTTTATGCCTATGATCCTGTCTATCTATGTAGGTCTCATGTACAGAGATTAATGTGAGGAATTATTTTGTTTTTCAAAAAAAAAAGTTTCTTCATTTGGGTTTTCTGAAATGAATGTTCTTCTCTCATTTTGAGGAGCATTTTCTCCCTTTTCAAATGTTGGAATGAATTTTGATTCTCGTTCTGAACAAGGTAATATTTACCTACATTTTTTACAACTTTCTTATGCCCAGAAGAAAGACATGTTTTTAATCCACTACAATAACAATATATAGGTCTAGTACTGTATTAGCAAACCTTAACTGGCATTTTAACACTTTTAAACACTTTACATTGTGTTGCATTTGGAGCTGTATACAATATATTTCAGAGTTGTATGACTTTGCTCATCTATAAGGTCTTGACTAGTGTGGCAAAATTCCGGTAACTTTCCCAAAATTCCCAGAAATCTTGGTCGGATTCTGGGATTTCTGGAAAACCTGGGAATCTTCTGAAAGTTAACAGAATTTTTCAGCACTAGTCTTGACTCCTGAGTACTGTTATTAACACATTGTTATGCCTTGGGTGACGATACCCCTGATTTTTGAAAGCTTTATTGTTTTACTGAACTAAATGTAGGAAGTTCTGCAAATGCAAATGAATTGATGAAACTTATTTCTTTACAATACATATGGGGCTGGTTTCCCAAACCCAGATTAAGCCTCGTCCGTGACTGAAACAACCTTTCAATGGAGATTTTCATTTGGGATTTGTGTTTAATCCAAGCACTAGGCATAATCTGTGTCTGGGAAACCGGCCCCGAATTCAATAAGGAAATACATGGGGGTTTTGTCCTAAAACAACGCTACTGAAAACTGCCATTATGTTGAAAATACAAGTAATTTGTACTCCAATGATGTCTCAAATGGGAGGTAAACCATTCCTTGTCGTCACAATATGCACCGTATGTGAGATGTTACAATGTATAACAAACCACAAGGAAACAAGTCCTGTTCATGTTTCTTACACTAGTCTTTTACTTTTTATATGGCTATTTAAATACAAATTCTAAATAAAAGAAAATGGAATGTGTTTGTGATTCGTTTGGATTTTCATGTCATACATATAAGATTGCACACACCTCATGGAGAAAAGCAGTTTCTTGGAATATGATTACCAACAACTGCTAGTTAAAAAGGGCAAGTATCTTTTTTTTTAAACTGAGGATTCTGTCTGTCTATCCTTTTAGAACACAGATCTCAATCTTGTTATAAAGTCATTGAGTGCTGCTATATCAAATGTCATCACAGTCCAAGGCACAATGAACATGATCTGAACAGAGAAAATAGATATAATGTATTGACAGTTCAGAACTATCATCAAGCAAACATAAAATATACAGTGAAATGTACACTTTCCTAGACAATTAAAGTTATCAAATAACAGAAATGCTTTCAACTAGTTTGACCAATCTCTCTCTCTCTCTCTCTCTCTCTCTCTCTCTCTCTCTCTCTCTCTCTCTCTCTCTCTCTCTCTCTCTCTCACGCACACACAGGTTTTGCATGATACTAGTATCGTTTGGCTGGCTTTAGGACCATGCTCCGCATTGACATGATTGGTTGACGGTAGGTGAGGGCGGGAGGTTCTATATAAACACAAACTCACTTCCTTGACAACTTCCTTCACAACAGCTCTGCGCTGCTCAGCGAAGCGTAAGAAGTATGAATGCCCTGACTTCTGCAGAAGCCATATCACCGTAAATGCTGCACGGCCAATGCAGACATCAGATTGACCATGTAGCGCCTTTAAGAAAGCAGAGACCGTGCCAGTTTGCTTTGCCAGTCAGCCGTTAAGGCAGTGCGCCGATTAATTTACATTTGATGTCGGCATTTGAACTCGGCTTTATAAACCTTGTTGTAATCTGATAGCCAGGGGTTATTGAATTGGGAGGTGAGGGAGCCCTCCTTTTTGGTGACCATTTGAAACTCAAAGTTATTTTATAGCTATAAAAATATAGGCTGTGATAGCTTTGGGCCTAATTTATATTTTCATTCATTTACCCAGTAGGCTAGAGCAATGTTGGTTTCATGTATTGTTATGAAAATAAACACAACTGAACAACTCGCTATTTAGAGCATTTGCCAAAAATACATGTCCTGTTTTTGGCTTCAAAGACAATAACAATTGTAGGCTATAACAATGTACATTGTCATGCAGTGACAGAATGATAATTGAGATAATGCAAATCATTAATGATTTAGTTAGTACTTTTCTTGCTGTAGGGCTAGTTCCTCATCATCCTCTGGCTGTATCCCTCATCCCTACCTGTAGCCTACCTGCCTCTGGTAGCATTTACACCTCACTCTGTCATTCTTGCTGGTCCAGTTCCTCATCATCCTCTGGCTGCATCCCTCATCCCTACCTGTAGCCTACCTGCCTCTGGTAGCATTTACACCTCACTCTGTCATTCTTGCTGGTCCGTTCCTCATCATCCTCTGGCTGTATCCCTCATCCCTACCTGTAGCCTACCTGCCTCTGGTAGCATTTACACCTCACTCTGTCATTCTTGCTGGTCCAGTTCCTCATCATCCTCTGGCTGCATCCCTCATCCCTACCTGTAGCCTACCTGCCTCTGGTAGCATTTACACCTCACTCTGTCATTCTTGCTGGTCCAGTTCCTCATCATCCTCTGGCTGTATCCCTCATCCCTACCTGTAGCCTACCTGCCTCTGGTAGCATTTACACCTCACTCTGTCATTCTTGCTGGTCCAGTTCCTCATCATCCTCTGGCTGTATCCCTCATCCCTACCTGTAGCCTACCTGCCTCTGGTAGCATTTACACCTCACTCTGTCATTCTTGCTGGTCCAGTTCCTCATCATCCTCTGGCTGTATCCCTCATCCCTACCTGTAGCCTACCTGCCTCTGGTAGCATTTACACCTCACTCTATCATTCTTGCTGGTCCATCTTCCTCAATTAAAATGAGATATTCTCACAGATCCATCTTTTTGGCAAACGTCATTAAATATTGCTAAGTTATTTAGCTATAGTGTGGATGTAAGGCTGTTAAAAATAATAATTCACCCAGATAGTGCAACTACTGCATAGACAACATAATAATGTCAGACAGAGGGACAAACTGGCCTTGTTGGCTACTATGTTGCAATCGATATTCTCGGAGCCGCCTTGTTTATACAAAATGTTTAAATATTCTCAGAACCAAGTTGTTGATACAATGCTTCAATATTCGCAGAACTTTTCCCTTCCCTGTCGAATAATGCAAACAGGCTAATGCAAACATTTGCGGGAAGCACACGAGACAATCTTGGCGGGAAGCGCAGGAGACAATGACTGTCATTGCACACTGTATGCACCGTTCCACAACCGTGGCTTCATATGGCCTGTAGCAAGGGGTTGGCAAACTTTTTCATGTGGAGTGCCAATTTACAATTGATCATAACATTTCTAAAGATCTGCTTGCCGGTTACGATTTTCATATAAGCATTGCAGTCTACCTAACTGTGCCCAAAAAATATATAACTGCCAACAAACTAAATAATTACACTGAACAAAAAGATCAATGCAACATGTAAAGTGTTGGTCCAATGTTTCATGAACTGAAATAAAAGATCCCAGAAACTTTTCATATGCACAAAAAGCTTATTTCTCTCAAATCTGGTGCACAAATTTGTTTACATCCCTGTTAGTGAGCATTTCTCCTTTGCCAAGATAATCCATCCACCTGACAGGTCTGGCATATCAAGAAGCTGATTCAACCGCATGATCATTGCACAGCTGCACCTTGAGCTGCGGACAATAAAAGGCCAGTTTGGTCAATGCCACAGATGTCTCACATTTGAGGGAGTGTTGCCAGATCCTGATTGGTTTTCTGATCCACGCCCCTACCTCTACCTTTTTCTAAGGTATCTGTGACCAACAGATGTATATCTGTATTCCCAGTCATGTGAAATCCATAAATGAGGGCCTAATGAATTTATTTCAATTGACCGATTTCCTTATATGAACTGTAACTCAATAAAATCTTTGAAATTGTTGCATGTCGTGTGTTATATTTTTGTTCAGTATATATAGCTGGCTACTAGAGAGAGGCGCTGTCCATTCAGCACCATGCCACGGAGCTCCAACATGCCTACCTACCTCTACGGAGGCTCCGTCCATTTAGCGGTTCTGAATCACGGGCGCGGCCTTAGCTCAAAAGGCATGTGTAGATTTTCCTTTCGTGATTTTCGTCATTCTTTGGTCGAGTTTGTTTGTCTCCATGCGTCGTTGTCGATTGCAGGCCTGATGTAGGCTATGCCTTTTATTTCAATAATGTGTAGGATTTATCTGGCATAGTTTGCATTAGCGGTCAGCTGTTTTATTCACGGGTTGCTTTCACATTGATGTCGGCATTTGAAGTCGGCCTTGTTGTGACTTGATAGCGTGTATTATGCATCTATTTCATGTTCGCTGTATGCGCCGTTGCACAAGTAAATGAGTCAATGTATGAGGTTGAGTAGTGGTTGACATTGTGCACGCAGTTCCACATACCTTTAAAAACATATTGCGGTGATAATTAATGGCTGGGGTCATTTTCATTTGTTTTTGCTGTTCTCCAAAATAGCATTTGAGAGTTTTAAAATTATGTAGAAATGCAGTAAATGAGCTTCACATTCCTACAAAAAATCATACTTTGCCATATCCTAGGTTCAGTGGTTTAAAGTAATTAAGTAAAAATACTTTAAAGTACTACTTAAGTAGTTTTTTGGGGTATCTGTACTTTACTTTACTATTTATATTTTTGCCAACTTTTACTTCACTACATTCCTAAAGAAAATAATTTACTTTTTACTCCATACATTTTCACTGACACCCAAAAGTACTCCTGTTACATTTTGACAGGAAAATTGTCCAATTCACACACTTATAAAGAGAACATCCCTGGTCATCCCTACTGCCTCTGATCTGGTGGACTCACTAAACACAAATGCTTAGTTTGTAAATTATGTCTGTGTTGGAGTGTGCCCCTGGCTATCCGTCAATAAAAAAATAAAATTAATTGTGCCGTCTGGTTTGCTTAATATAAGGAATTTGAAATAGTTTATACTTTAAAATTTTTATACTTAAGTACATTTGAGCAATTCCATTTACTTTTGATACTTAAGTATATTTCAAACCAAATACTTTTAGACTTTTACTCAATTAGTATTGTACTGGGTGACTTTCAATTTTACTTGAGTCATTTTCAATTAAGGTATCTTCACTTTTACTCAAGTATGACAATTGAGTACTTTTTCCACCACTGTCTAGGTTTAGCTGAACTGACGGCACTGGTACAGTAGAATACAGTCATTGTATAGTAAGCTATTCCCATATCCGGGTTATGAGACAGACAGCGTGGTAGGCAGCATCACTGGCTGGAAGTGTTTGGTTTGATGAAATCAGGAAGTTAACGCTTTTCCTTTGCAATCCGTGCTTGTGAGTGTTCCTTCGGCTCTTTTGTCTTTGGTTAAACATTCAGTTGTGGATTTATCGAAGTTTAGCCTGTTCAATGCTTTAGAAGTGCAAAAATCAATACCATTCGACAGTGCATGAACACTACGGACAATGCGGTGAGTAAAAATTCCTCATGAACTAAGTTACACTCATTAACGAGCAACAAGTGCGCACGTTTCGCAAACAAATATGTCTACTTGCTGTCATTGGACGAACGTTTGGCACGTTTCAGCGTTTATAAGCCTAATAAAGCCAAATTCTTAAAAAATCAAGACCACGCACACAGTTGTGGTTTTAAAGATGTGGCATGTGTAAACCAAAGCGAATGACCTGAAGTGTCGTGTGTGTTCAAGGCCGCCCGAAATAGTAACGTCTCTGTTTTTATAGTTCTGGCTGTCAGCTAGTGTGTGTTTTGCACAGATATTATTTAAAAATACAAATCCACTAAATTAGGCAACTGTGTTGTAATGTTTATTGTATTTTATTGTATATGGGTCAAAAACAATAACACGAGAAGTCATAAAAGTTGTAGTATAAAGCTTCTCATTCGAGACACAAGTACATTATTCTAATTAAGGCATCTCAACGACTATAGTTGTAAATGTTGGGTGGCAATTTGTATATCCATTAACTTTTTGTTATGCAATGTTTGTCTGCTTTCACTTTCTCAAGATCAAACCTATGTCTGTCTGTCTGTCTGCCTGCCTACCTGTGTTTTGCAGGGCACTGACTAATGGCTCTCCCTCTGTCCTCCCTCCTACCACAGCCCATCTCTAACCAGTGTCTTCCACCACACCAGTGACTCAGACTGGGACCAGTCCCACTGACCACCACCCTGTACTGGTCCCAGTTCAGTCCTGCCCTGCTGTGGAGGAGGAGGCATGTCCTACTGGTCTGTAGGCCTCTCCAAGGCCACTGGAGACACACAGAGCAACAACATGGAGGACCAAGAGAAACAAGATGGTGAACAAGATGGTGAGAGAATTCACTTTTACTGTATTGTACTTAGGCTGTATCTCAATTAGTATTTTCCTTATTCCTTGCCTCCTTCTCAACCGTATTGGAGGAGAATGTTCAAGGTCCCTCCCCTAAGACCTTTAGAGAAGGAGATGAGTAGAGAGGATGCAAGGTTTAGGGTTCGGTTAGGGAAAATATGATTTTGAATGGGAATCAATTGTTGGTCCCCAAAAAGCCCTCACAAGTATAGTTAGACATAGCTAAATATCTGTTACACATTCAGTTTGTTCGTCTATGCACCTTGGTTGGACTGGGAGCTAGCGTCAGCCAACATTATCCCCATTGGATACTGTGTTCTGTTAGACTGCTCCCAGATCTGTTTGTCGTTGGCATAACAATCACCATAGGAGTTGATCTGGGATCAGGCTACTGTTCTGTGGCAGTCAGAGAGGTTTTGACTGTGAACCAGCGGATTCAGAATCGGTGAGCCACGTCTGAGTGTCCGCTGCTTAAATATAGAAGACAGAACTGAAACAACACCATGACACTGGGTTTAGTCAAGAGAAGTGGTGGTGGTGGTGGCGGCAGCAGTACTGTAGCCTATGCTACTACTGAAGTCACTGCAGCTGCATCTGAAATGGCACCCTATTGCCTTTATAGTGCCCCAGTTTTGACCAGATTCCTATGGGCCCTGGTCAAAAGTGAGTGACAGAGAGAGACTCTTCCTCGGTCTCTCTTCCACTCCCCTTTCTCTCTCTCTTTTTTCCTCTGAGGCTGTGTGCTAAGTGGAGTCATCCCCAGTCAGGGCTCTCTATCCCTGGGGAAGCAGGCAGAGAGGCGAGGTAGAGGGTTGGGTTACACTCTGCAGGGATGGGTGGTGGGGGGTAGAGATCAATAGGGGATAAAGACTGAGAGACAGAGACATATCATCCTTACCTTTCCTTTAGTACATTCCGTGAGGAGGGAGGGAGACTGGTGGCTGGGGCTGCCAAACAAAGAAGCATCCTCCCCCCTCCCTCTCCCCTTCTCTCTGACATTAGCTCTGAGTGCAGCCAGCCAGAGAGGGAGGGATGGAGAGAGAGAGAGCCATCGGCCATGCAGACAGGCTAGAGAGAGGCTGTGCTCCTTGGATACATAACACACTATAGAGGAAGAAAGAGGGAAAGGCTATATGAGAAAAGGATCAAGCGATCTGAATGCCATGGGGAGACGGGAGAAAAGAGAAGTGTCCACTCTCACAGTATGAACAGGTATGCTACAATACAGGACATGTGGGTGATGCCCTAGCCCAGAGTAACAATGGACACTGTAGTCACTGTGTAGCCTATGTAGCTAACTGGGTTCATATAGTCTTGTTTACAGTCTGAAGCCTATGTACAGGGCATGTTGTTGTACGTGTGGCTAAAGCTAATGCTACATGAGATTAGTGGCAAGTCTATGGGGTTTAATGTACTTTAGCTGTGATTGACGCTAGTGTTAGCCTGTAGGATCTGATTGTTTACCGGTGCAGTTGTGTGTACTGAAGGCTTATAGAGGCATGTTATTTATTCCAGAGAGCTATGGGGACCCTGAAGATTTTATTTTCACTCTGACTGACTGGGTTTCGGAAATCTCTTTATATGCTTGTGGCTATACACTTTGAAGCCGTTGATTTAATATTTGGCATTGGGGGGAAAAACATATACAACCCTATATTAGGGCTGGGGTCATTTTAAATTTCAAGTGTCATTTTCAGGACTCGTGACGTCATCACTTTAGTAGCATATTGGTATTTCAGTTTACTTCCAGAATTGACTGAGTTTAAATGGAATCAACCACAGCCCTGCTACCGGTAAACATACAGTATTTAGCTTTGCTCTAAACTGCAATAAATGCTTTTGGATAGAATGACAGTAAATGCCAAATATTTGTCAGAATTTAGCCAGTGTTAGGTAGACCAATTAATTTGACTTGATTGATTAAATCTCTGACTATTTAATCAGTATTAAAGTGTGAAGTGTTGCTATTTTTATTTCTCCAGGCTTAATTGAAGGTATTAACAAGACTCAAACAACCGTCTTTCATCTATACTAGAGTAAGCGCTAAGCCCATCACATATGGAACTAACTATTTAATTTTATGTAGAGTAGGCTAAAGCATTTTTACACGAGACATTGAAGGCCTGTTGGGAGTGTTTGGTATCTTGATAGAAAATCAAAGTGTTCTCTGAAATTGGTATCTTTCCATGGGGCTGGAACTGTAGATCTCAACAGAAACGTCTCCATATGTTGATTATCTTGACCTTTGTTGAACTTCAAGGCCATTGGGCACATTTGACCCATGGGTGTTGATGGTGCCTTTAAAAGGTCATCTCTACAATATGCTCTGACAGCTCCAGGTTTCCCTTGAAAAATACTTGATTTATCTCAGTGGGGCTTCTTGGTTATATCAAGGTTAAATACTGTATCTCAATAATACATCACAGTGGTACAGGGATGTATGAGAGACTACAACATAAACTCCTGCACTGACTTAATAGCTGAAGTTAATGTGACTGAAACTAGGTGGGGTTTATACCTTTTAACCTACCTACCTCGGGGTGAACAAGGACAACGTTTTGAAATGGAATGCAGCCCAGGCAGGCTCCCCTTCTGTCCAATCACAGAAATGAAAGGATTAAGGATCCTGTTACACAGAATGAGCCAATCAATCAGCAGATTACTGTCACTCTGCAGACGACGCGTTATGATCCATATAGTAATGAGACACACACACACACACACACACTGATCCAATGACGAGCCCAGTCTCTATGGGGACGATTGTATCGTATGTCCCTGTGCATCCATGATGACTTATTCAAAGGTAATTAATATTTGAGACAGGAAGTCCCTTTGCTTAACACCTCTTCAATGCAGTAAAGATGAGATTTCCTTAAATCCGCATTTGTTGAAAAAGCGCCACTTTTCGCCCCAGCACCTTTTAGTGTTATTTTTGTTTGTTTGTTGATGAAACAGAAGAGAGGATTGTAAAAAATAATTGCAGTACATATTCTGCTGTTCTATCCCGCAATGGAAAAAAGAAGGAAGGGAAGCGCTGCTAAGGTACACAATAGTAGGTTTTGGTAGCCAGAACGCGCTGCTAAGGTACACAATAGTAGGTTTTGGTAGACAGAAGCTGTTGCTTAGGTACACAATTGTAGATTTTGGTAGACAGAAGGTGCTGCTAAGGTACACAATAGTAGGTTTTGGTAGACAGAAGGTGTTGCTAAGGTACACAATAGTAGGTTTTGGTAGACAGAAGGTGTTGCTAAGGTACACAATAGTAGGTTTTGGTAGCCAGAAGGCACTGCTAAGGTAAACAATAGTAGGTTTTGGTAGCCAGAAGGCGCTGCTAAGGTAAACAATAGTAGGTTTTGGCAGACAGAAGGCGCTGCTAAGGTACACAATAGTAGGTTTTGGTAGCCAGAAGGCGCTGCTAAGGTACACAATAGTAGGTTTTGGTAGACAGAAGGTGCTGCTAAGGTACACAATAGTAGGTTTTGGTAGACAGAAGGTGCTGCTAAGGTACACAATAGTAGGTTTTGGCAGACAGAAGGTGCTGCTAAGGTACACAATAGTAGGTTTTGGCAGACAGAAGGCGCTGCTAAGGTACACAATAGTAGGTTTTAGTAGACAGAAGGTGTTGCTAAGGTACACAATAGTAGGTTTTAGTAGACAGAAGGCGCTGCTAAAGGGACGTGGCAGTTTCATCAAATAGGGATTCTAGTTTTAATGAAGAGTAGAGCTGAGACACTGAGCCAATATCCAATCCAGTAACTAGGGTTGGAAAATGCAGGAAACTTTACCCACATCCCCAGGTTTTCCAGAAATCCTAGTCGGAGGATTCTGGATTTCCTGCTTATTCCCTTCTGATTCTGGGAAACTTTTAACAGGGATTTCTGGAAAAACAGGGAATTTTGGGAAATCTACCATATTTTTGTTAACCTACATGTAAGTTTCTATAAGGGTCAGATTGTGTCATACACAGATAATATATCCGTTCTATATCTATGACGTCATAGGTCTGCCTACATCTTTACCTATCAGAAAACATTCCGCACATTGTGATGTGATATTATGGAACACTTCCACTTCCCCACACTGATAGCACATTTAGCTGGAGGAGGTGGAGAGGAGCGCTAGCTATGCTTGTTTACTGTTGGTGATGGACAGATTTAGGAGGGGGGAGCACTCTTCCTTGTTCTGTCTCTCAGATGGACAGATTTAGGAAGAGGAAAGAGGAGGAGTACTATCCTTGTTGTGGCGTGTCCTGTGCTGTGCTCTGCTTTGCCCTTCAAGATCTCTTCACACAGACACACAAACTGGCCAGTAAAAGGATGGTATTGACGCATGGGGGTGCAAGCAGGTCTAATGGTTACAGTCCCTCTGGCTTTCTCATATAGCCTTTATAGCCCAGTCAGACTCTCACCATCTTTCTCATATAGCCTTTATAGCCCAGTCAGACTCTCACCATCTTTCTCATATAGCCTTTATAGCCCAGTCAGACTCACCATCTTTCTCATATAGCCTTTATAGCCCAGTCAGACTCACCATCTTTCTCATATAGCCTTTATAGCCCAGTCAGACTCTCACCATCTTTCTCATATAGCCTTTATAGCCCAGTCAGACTCTCACCATCTTTCTCATATAGCCTTTATAGCCCAGTCAGACTCTCACCATCTTTCTCATATAGCCTTTATAGCCCAGTCAGACTCTCACCATCTTTCTCATATAGCCTTTATAGCCCAGTCAGACTCTCACCATCTTTCTCATATAGCCTTTATAGCCCAGTCAGACTCTCACCATCTTTCTCATATAGCCTTTATAGCCCAGTCAGACTCTCACCATCTTTCTCATATAGCCTTTATAGCCCAGTCAGACTCTCACCATCTTTCTCATATAGCCTTTATAGCCCAGTCAGACTCTCACCATCTTTCTCATATAGCCTTTATAGCCCAGTCAGACTCTCACCATCTTTCTCATATAGCCTTTATAGCCCAGTCAGACTCTCACCATCTTTCTCATATAGCCTTTATAGCCCAGTCAGACTCTCACCATCTTTCTCATATAGCCTTTATAGCCCAGTCAGACTCTCACCATCTTTCTCATATAGCCTTTATAGCCCAGTCAGACTCTCACC